GACATTATTGTTGACCTTGCAAAATCTGGTTTGCTGCTTTGGTAAAGTTTGTCACAAGGTTGAATTCGGAGGCTTTTGTCGGCAGATAATCACGTGAGCCTTTCTCCTCTCACTGTTCTCGTCTCCATCTCTTCTACCTCTCTTCTCTCTACTCAATTCGCTTTGCGCATTCGTATTTATGGACATTTGCCCAAGCTGGCATCGTGATGGTATGACCAGCTATGACAAGTCAAGACCAGCTATGACTAGCTCTGACCAGCTCTGACCAGCTTGGACAAGCTATGACCAGCAAAGACCAAGTTAGACCAGTGGCCTGAGTGGAAACACACTCAGGTTCTCCACGTTGAAACAGACCTTGTGTCACATCTTGACTCAGTCGGCCGTCAAGTAAATATATATATATATATATATATATATATCATACTTATTATAAAACCCAGGTTGTGTGTGTGTCTGTTTGTTCGGATCGATCGGATTTCCTACATTTTTCAACCGATTTCAACAAAACTTCACTTTTTTTTTTTTTTGGCAAGTAGTGTTTCTTATTGTCTTGCACACTTTTTTCTTTATTTTTTACATTCAGAATGCTTTAAAAATTCCATTTACAAGACAATTGTTTATAATAAAATTCTATTCAATCGGTAGACTCATAACGAGTGAAAACAATTCGTAAAAAAACTAAACAAAAAACTAATTAAGACATGCGTGTCCGTCAACCTTAAACAATAATCTTTGTCAATTTTATTTTTCAGTCTTAATGTTAGTCGATACTTGAGCTATCATTTACTGTTACAACGCCGGGCTCTACTGCTAGTATATATATATATATATATATATATATATATATATATATATATATATATATATAAAGAGAGAGAAGAGAGGATTACCAGACGTGTAGAAAGGAGAGTAAAAGGGAAAAAACGCATGGTTTTAGTCAAGAGTTGTAAATCAGTTAAACGTCTTATTGTATGATAAGTCCTACAGGAGTATGCTTCTCGATCACTTTTACCCTACACATCCTCATAATATGCACACTTACTCTCTCTCTCTCTCTCTCTCTCTGTCTCTCTCTCTCTCACTTAGACCTTTACAAAAATCTTATTTAGTAATCTTCTACCTTGAGTTGCTCTTCGGCCATGTATTAGGTGAATAAAAGATGAATTGATTGAACATAAAATAGTTTAATCAAGCGGTAGTTTTTGCAACACCACAAATCGCAACAAAGACAAAAACATTAACCGGAAAACTCGAGTCATGTTCTTAAACAGCCTCGTCAGACCAAGACTTTCATATGGGTATCATGTATAACGCCAAACCTGTTCAGAAATATCGAAACTGTCAACTGTATACAACCGCTTTCTAACATCTGTTGTTAATAAAAGCTTTGAGTGAGTGAAACCTGTGGATCTTGGCGAATACCATCCTTCTTCGTACTTTTTGGACTGGCGCAAAAGTGGCAAAAAGAATTGTACCAGATAACAGAAACCACATCAGTCGAGTACATTCAACAAGAGGAACAATTAAAATAGATAGCTCATTTAACTCGAAGAGAAAATAATGACATAATCAAGATGTTGACATACTTCAAATAAAATGTGAGGAAGGAAGTCCTATCAATATTCGAAAGAACGATAATACTGAACTTGAGAAACCTATTTTCTTGAAACATTGTCTTAATAGAATTTTTTTTTTTTATAAATTTCAAAGGGAATTAAAACTGGTTATTCGGTTAATGGATGCTGAAAGTTTCCTTATAAGGAAACGGCTATATTAATTTTAGCTCCAGACAAAGTCACCAGCCGTTCTTCGCGATCCCCTTGACATTTTCAAGAAAGAGGTTATCTTCGGGCCGTTTTCGTTGGGGGTTAGTGACATCAGCGCGCCGTCTTTTCATTTCCTGTGTGAAGCATTAGTATTCAATTTGGTTACTGATTACTTGTTATGTTTTAACATTTTTTTTTAAGGAAGAAAACAAATATTCGTATTTGTAGGAGAAGCATTTTGAATTCAACGTTCATTTTGCTACATTCACATATACTATTCTATATATCCGATTATTTTGATGATATAACATTTAAGCAATTGTTTTAAGTACTGCAACAACAACAACGATAATAATAATAATAATATTTATTTATATATATTTGTCAATTATTTTCAATAATTTAGTCTATATATTTTTCATTTTTATCGTTTACTTTCTATTATTTACACGTTAAGAAGTTTTTATTATGATAATAATAATAATAATAATAATAATAATAATAATGATATCTGTGACAATCCGTTTACTCTGATTTTCAAAGTCAAATAAAATATATATAAAGCAGCAGCTTCCATTAAAAATTTCCTGCTTTAAATGCATTGGTCTTCGTTAGAAATGAACGTTATGGCGGTCTGTATGGCGTATATATAACTCGTACATAATGCGTTAAAATTTCTCTTTTCTCTGCAGTGCACCGATAGTTTAGGGGTAAGAGTCTTTGACTGATGTCAAATCTGCCGATTTCCGATCCCGGCTTGAAGCAATTGGATGTCCAGTCACACTAATGAGTTATGAATGACTCTATATATATATATATATATATATATATATATATATATATATACTTACACCATCGCTTCTGGTACATAAGTATGCGGACAGCTCCATATAAAACTGGTCTCGACGTTCTCAGAATGTTTCCCTCGGTGACAGTGTCAGCTAGTTTTGATCGACGGTAATTTAAATCTACACATGAGAGTGAACTCAATGGGTTATTTAATGCCGACAAGATTTTCATTGATTTTTTCAAGAATGTATAACTGGTAATATTTGTTTTCAAAAATGTATTGCTGGTAATTATTTTTCTTTGGAAATTTATTGCTGGTAATTTTTTTACAAAAGTATTTCTGATATTAAAATCTATTTTTACACTTTCATTGTATTTTGACCCCAGTTTTTTACCCAAAGCTAGGACCCTAACAAGTGCTACCACCCTGCGTCAAGGTGGACTTGGGAACATCAGCAATTAAGAGGTAGTTCCACGCTCCTCAAAACCTTCTAATCAGAGCCTTGCTGCCGGATGTAGTTTATCGTCTTACCCAGGACGGTGTTGTTCTCGGTTGAAATTCATCACATCAATTCTTTCTCTTCGAACATTTTTCCTGGGAAATAGTGTGTTTTTTTTTATATTTTTTTTTTGTTTTGTTTTGTTTTTTATCTGGTACAATCCAAAATGTTCAAAGTAGAATAATCAAAACCTTCAGGCTTCACTCGATCAAAAAATTTTTGGCTATTGGTATTAGAGATCGGTTTTATACAACTGACAGTTTAGATATTTCTGAGCAGGTTTTTTAACACCATGCATAGCAACTATGTGAAAGTCTCGATCTAACGAGGCTATTTAAGAATATGTCTCGAGTTTTCCGTTTAATGATCTGGTTTTATAGCTAAACAGTATGGAAGACCAACGTGTGAAACATTGCTTTGTGCGCATGCGTAAGTACAACGTTATCTCGTACCAACCAAAAACGAAATACTCGCCAAATGATCGAATTCTATTTTACGAGCTGAATTTACTAAACATAGGGCTACCGTAGACACCATATAAAAATAGTCAGATAGAAAAGGATGAGTCAGAATATTGACAAATTTAAAAATTACGGGAATGTAGAAATTGTGCAAGGTATTGGAAGATTGTCTGTTGTCGATCAAAAGCTGGAGACATCAGAAGTGTAGTTCTACAGAAGAATGCCGTCGTGAGATCAAACGGCGAAGTTTTAGAGAAAATGGAAACATAAAAGTCACTTATACATAGCATCAGAATGGCAGAGGTGGAATTTCTAGGGCACATAACGTGGAAATAGGGTCTGTAAAATCTGACAGGACATATTGAACATAGAAAACGGCACATTACCTACCTAACTAGCTTGTGTAATTGTGTAGGGATTAGGAGAGATACCAAAAAGATAAACTTTGGACAGGGCTCTCTCTCTCTCTCTCTCTCTCTCTCTCTCTCTCTCTCTCTCTAAGAAGAAGAAGAAGAAGAAGAAGAAGAAGAGGAGGAAAAGTAAGAAGAAGATGAGGGGGAAAAGAAAAGGAGGAGGAGGAAGGGGAAGAAGAGATAGAAGAGGAGGAGGAGGGGGAGGAATAGGAAGAAGAAGAAAAGAAGTGTAGGAATAATAATAATAATAATAATAATAATAATAAT